AAAAAAATTGAGGTGTTTGTACTTTTTTGTTCAAAACACCCCTAGAACTTAGAATGCGGGCGTGCTAAGTTTTTTTCCTGCACAGGCACGGTCGGGCACGGTGTTTTATAGGCAAAATGTACCAAAACTGATTCTGATGAGTCTTTTCTTTCAAACCGGAAAAAGTCATTCTTAGTTTCAGGCCGCTACTATATAGTGATTTATATTGCATAATATCCATTTTAGCGCATCACACCACACATTTTAGCTGATGATCAGCGTCACTTCCAATTCTTCTGAGACATTTGACTTGACGTAGTGTGGTACACAATGTTTGGAAGGCATTCTTTTCTAAGTGATGACGTTGTCTTTTGATGTCACTGGGGCGAGGAGTCTTCTTGGACTTTGGAAAGATGTAATGACAAGTTCCCACCCAAGTGCGAGGCTTAGGACACTGCTGATAGCGACGTGGTCATGCCTTTCCAGTTGTCTCGACCACCCATGTAACATGCTGTTAGTTCTTTCATGGCCAAGCCAAGGTTGGAGATTCACATTTCTCTCAAGAAGGACTCTCGCGACTTCTACAACGGCTCAAAACCGTCGCAGTATAATGTTTCACTTAGACTTGGGCACGCCAATAGATGGGATAGCAAGGTCGAACATGACGCAAGTAACCTTGCAACCGCATCGAGAATGGAACATTGAATTCGGTCATTTGGAATACTTGCACAAGGAAAATCAATGAACCCAAAACAGAACTCGAGGAACCTCATGTCCATGACGGCGGGACGGAACTCATCAGGAGCTTGAATCACAGGGGCGCCATCATTGGAGTTGCATAGCTCCTGCCCAAGTCAATTTGAGAAACTGTGCTTTGTTTGCTTTGTTGCACTGCTGAGTTCTTGAGTCTTTGTAGATCAATCCATCGGAAGCTAATGTATCAAGCTGTGTAGCATTCCGGCTTTTTGGACATTGAGAGACGAGTTCGGGAGGTGAAGGGAGAGCAGAAGATTGATGTGGACTGGCTGGGCCCACCAATCAAGGTCGACTCGTGCGATTTGTGTGTATATCAGTCATAGCAGTTTGGCAGAGCCAGACCACTTGAGAAACTTCAGCATTTAGTTTGGTTCTTTGTTCAACGGAGCATGACTCGCATCATTTGTTGTCAACAAGATCAACAAGTCACCAGGATGCAACCGTTCCTTCAGGTTGTGCACCCCGGAGATCTAGAGACCTTGCGTCGCATTGGCGAAACCAGTGAAGACCCGGCGTGCCGCCCAGGGGAGTGGGAACTGATGTTTGGTTCGACGGTTAGGCCAGAGGTGTAGCTTTTCACCTACTAGTTGCAGTAGGATCTTTGCACGCTTTTCCTTTTTCATAATCTCATGTACAAAAGCATCCAGCATCGTCAGGCCTTGCCCTTCTGCAACATGCGTGAGAATCAGAAAAAGTCGGCCTTGCATGGGGCGACTGATGAAGCTGCAGCCTTCAATGCGAAACATTCGACGGCCTCGACGACATGGGAACTCTAGAGGACCTTTCATACATACAATACATAGAGCCGTTTAGGTTTGAAGGCTAAAATCGGGGAGCTTGGCTCCCTCCAAGAGTACAGTATAGATTTAAGCCGGGGCCGACCTGATTTTGGAGGCCCAATGTGGTGGCTAAAGTGGATTTTGAAACCCTATGCTCTGGTTAAAATGGGTCTGGATTTAGGATCCTAATGTTGGCTACCCCGATTTTATAGGATGGATTTTAGCCACATCATTCCTATGAAGAAAGCATGGAGTGATGACATGTTTCTTGGAGACTGATGTTGGACCCTCCCATTTATTTAGGATGATTCTAGCCAAAGCTTTGTTGTGAAGACTCCAGGGATGTGTTTCAGGGAAATCTACAGGCCAAGATTCAAAGCAAAAACCAAAAGCTGAGGACATACCTTGAAGAAGGGACCAAGACCTGGTGAGCATCCCTGGGGTCATCCCACGGACTGAAAAAGCGTATATAAATTCATTCTTTTGATTTCTGTGGTGGAATAGTATAGAATGCAGCACGCAGCAAGTTGCAAGGGCTTGCCCTGCAGCATCCTAACAAATTGCATCATTTACACCCATGGATGGGGAAGTGCCTGGTGACAGGGACATTGGCTAAATGGCCAACATGCAAGCAGGATCAAGCAGGCAGACAACAGTTTAAACAATAAAATCTGTGCAGCTGACGTTGGGGCAGATGCAGAGTGGCCAAAGCTTGGCAAAATATTTTCGCGACAACATCCTACAAACAGAGATTTCTAAGGGCCTGGCCAAAATCTATCAAAATGATGCCAAAATCCTCTAATCTTGGATACCACATGATACCACCATTTCATCAGCACTTTGGAGGCTAGAATGAGGTGGGCTCCCAGGGTTCCAAGGTGACTGGGTATGCCCAGACGGCTATACATGCGAGCAACTGCCAAAACCTCCGATGAGGGCAGCATCACTATAGTGAAGACTAAGTAAGTAAAGTGAGGGAAACCTTCAGGAACGATAAGGTTCACGCAATAAAGCAACCATGTGTTAGTACATGTTGTTAGGTGTGTCCAAACCCTCGCAAACGATAAGGTTCACAGAAAACAAATGAAAAAAAAGATAACGTTGGGAAGAGTGCGCACTACAACACGTTAGAGGGTTTGCACGTTGCTCATATGTATTATAAGTATGGCTCATATATATATATATA